GAGAGTACCATATGTCGTTATGTCTCTTATAGATAATTACGAATGAAGAAGAGCTTAATAATTCTACGTATATGAATACACGACAGCTGACATGTATTTCTATACTGGTATCTTTTATACAATTTGCTGTGACCAAGGGAGACTCCTTTCTACTGTATTCTCAACCTTTCCTCCTCCCCTCCGCCCCAGTCACTTTTAGCAAATCTTAAGTGCAAGCACATGAAAAACATTGTTTTGATCAATAGTTTTTATGGCAAAATCCATAAACCGAAACAGTCCCTTTAGACTACTCAGAACAGGTAATTTAGACTACAAGCCCTGACACAACTTCTGTTTAAGCTTGGCTGGAGGATGATGCTCTAACATGTAAAGTGGAGTTGTCTTGCATTGACATTTAAATATAATCATAGGAGTAGATGGTTGAGAGCCCAAAATGAGACGAGAGCCACAAGTGACCGAGTGAGTTCCTGGCAGAAGAGCTGATGGGGAGGACTGCAGTGATTGCAAATGAGGCCTGTCCAGGAGGTAATGTGATTAGTGTTTTATAAGAGCAAAATACGTTGCAGAAATCAAATGAAGCCTGGAGTGAGGTGGAGGTGGCGGGGAGGAATCCCATAATTCCTCCAGTTTTATCTAATAAGAGCTTTATAATTTTCAGTTGTGGGTTTTTTTTTTCCAGCCTTGTGCTGGGGGTGTTTGAGAGTTATTACGAGATTTGAAAGAATGCTGAGTTTTTGATCTTGTCACAACTGAAAGTACTTTATAAATGTCAGAGTTGGTGCGTGAAAATCTGGGACGCCGCTCGGCTGCTTCGCTTACGAGAGCTCAGCTAATGAGGCCACAAGAGAGCAGGCTGCCGAGCAGCCGGGCGCAGTGGCCCTGCCTCGGCGAGCCCCGCGCTTCAGCGCGCCTTCCAGAAAGGGAGGAGGCGCCTAATGTGTAATGGCAAACAAATTGCCAACCTTAATAATAATTTTTTGCATTCCTGTCATACTTGGGAATGTTTACGCAGGTGGAGGGTTTTGTGGTGTGTAGCAGAGTTGTGGTTACCCCATTCTGTCCTGATTCTCAGGAAGACGTGTTGAGGGCTTATTGGACTAAGGCCCATGTGTTGGTGGTATGACCTATCTGCTGCATCCAGACTTCATCAGAGCAGGGCAAGATAACCAGAGCAAGGCATCTGGAAGGGCCACATGGGGACTGCAGCTGTGGCAAAAGGTTTGTTAGCTTTGTGAAGGTTTTTAATCCAAGATAAGCCAAGTAAACAATGTTACATGGGGAACATCTCACATCAGCAGACACCAAAAAGGTCAAGTGTCTAAAGTTAGATGAGATGCAGTAAGTTTTTCTGGACGACTTTTTTGAAGTTTCATAAACGTGCAACTTTTTAAATGCTCGCTAAGGAGTATGCTTTTTTAAGAACGGTGATTAAAAATTTCCAGTCTATTTAAGAGGAACAGGAGATCCCACCAGCTGCCATTCACATGCCTGAATAACTGATTTGTATTGGAGTCTGGCAAAACTATTTTGTTGAAGGTATTGAGCAAAGATAGTGACTTTCTCCTGGTATACCATAGGCATGTATTGATAACTAGTTTCTTCCTTCCAACCTACAGCTTTGAAAGTCACAAGCAGTGTCCTCGTTCAACAGCATACAGAAGCCCAAGTCATAACTTGGCAGACAAATGATTTCCCTGAGTTCAGGAAAACTTCACATCTGCTTTAATTTGTCTGCTTAAAAGAATTTGAACTGAATTGTGATCAATGGTGACACCGATGTCATGCAGACAGGGTGCTACCCGAACTGCTGTGTTGCATTCCTCTGCCAACATCTGTCTCTACTGATCTTGAGAAGCTCAGAAGTAAAAGCCTGTGCTTGAAGGGAGAATAAAGGGACCTACAATAATGCAATTCAGATGTACAGGTTAGGATACGATTTTTCTAACGCACCCAGAATGCCACTTTTTCCTGCGTAGAAATTGGGTGCTCAAGTTCCTCAGGGTTTTTGGAAATGGCAGGTGTCAAAGAGAAACTGTACTGATGGTATAGTAGAAAACTCTGTTACTAAACTGTGTTTTCCCCGAGAGAAAACAGGACTTTCTGAAGTGCTTGCTGTGCAAGGCATAGGTGTGTTTTAGACAGGAGGTTCGCTCTAGGAAGTGGCAACACACATGGTTTTGTGTCTCACAAGCATGAGCTTGTGAACGTGACAGTGGCCATGTAACTTTTTGGTAGATCCATTCAAATATTTGTAGATCACGCTGCAAGACAAGAATGTGTAAATACCAGTGAACTGCATATAAAATAGCAAGAATATCTTTAATAACTAAATAATCAGGCATCCCCCTCACTTTGCCCTGACCTGCTCGATCTGTACTCTTTTACTTCAGGAAAGTTAGCTTGATCTGAAATGCATAAGAAGGACTTCCTAGAATTCTGTTTTATTTTGTAAAATTGAGTGTCTGGCTGGTTGATCAATTAAATGGTGGTGCATGGCTTTGTTGAGGTCGTCATTTCATGACAGTTGATTTGGAGCACTTTAACACAGCATCCATTTTAGGTGTAATTTAACATAGTATCTGCTGAGAGAGAATTCAGGCGTCACGTGGGATCTTGTCTGCTGGTCTTTGCTGAGCAAATTTGTTGAGTTTGGGTTTTGATGACTGGAAATGAAAGCCATGGTAGTTAGACAACAGCAGCCCTATTAAAAAATTGCAATCTGACATTGCTATTCTGGGATCCCTCGAGGACCAGGAATTTGGGGAGATAAATGGGATTCAATCACTCTGGCTCTGGCTCTTATGCCTCTCGTGGTAAAGGAGCATGCAAACAATGATTTGGAATTTATTTTCACTACAAAATGGATCTTTGATCCCAAGGCAATAAACAGTAAAAGAGCAAGCAGCAAAGAATCAAATGTTACAGGAGCTCATGTTAAAACAAAACCTGAGATTTCTACTGGGAATTTTTTATGGCTTTTCAGAAGCAGAATCTCAGATGCATCAAACACTTGCAGTGTGATATTTTTAACAATTACAAGTCCAAATATGTGCGATTACCAACAGTAGGACTTTTGTCAGGAATGACTGCACCAAGTTTAATTTAATGTACTCAGCCTTGTAATTGTTTTTTTTTAATCTTGCTGTGCCAATGACAGCATTTTTTTATTCATAGGTTTTATGTTTTATATCCTCCACAAATCACACATTTAAGACAGTTTTGTTTTGCAACATCTCTGAAATGCTGGCTTATTAGCAAGCCAGTCCATGCCAGATTATTTTATTATCGATAGACTGTATCAACTGTTCAGATAAAGTTGCGTTCCTCATGCTGTTCTGTTAAGGTTTAGTGGGACTAAATCACAAAACATTGCTTTGCTTGGAAATTGAATCGAAAAGATCCATCTATGGTAAGATTACTTGTTTAGAGAAAGCTGCTCTTGCATTTTGAAGATTTTGCTGGTTTTCCCTCGCAGTTTGGGTGCCTGGACAATACCCGGCAAACTTGAAGTGCCTCAGTGCTCCAGTGCTCTGCTGAACCGGGATCTTACTTTTAAAGGATATTTTCATCTTTGCTTCCCAAAGCTCTGTCTTTGTCATAAATAGGAGATAGGAAAGCAAACTTGAATTTAGAGTTATATATAACATTAATTTTCTGTGCAACATAACCAAGAGCTACTAGACCTGCTGGTGACAAATGATGCTGGTGCCTACTTGTTCTTATTCTTTTCAGGCTGCATGTGATTATAAGGGCTAATCCTGCAGACAGGGTTTTCTCTTTTTCTTTTTTTTTTACTTGCTTTGCACTGAAACACTTGCATGTGCATTCAGGATATTACTTACTTCATTCCGGCACTTTTAATATGAAACTTGCCAGACTTTTATCCTGGGCTTGATAAGCGGTTACCTATGGGACGTGAACAGTGTGCCATGTTTCTGTGTTTGGTGTTGAAAGTGCCTTTCAGCCTCTTGCACCTGGACCTCTAGCAGCTTATGCTCGCTTATAGGGGATTACAGAAAGTAAGTAGTAAAAACAAGGCTTCTGTCAGGATTTTTAAATACAATCCTGCGGTTTGCACTTTCTTTGGAAATTTTGTAGGGCTCTGTCAGGCAAATCAGGTTGATCACTACTGACTATGACTTCTTTTGTAGAACAGATTACTGGGTATTTCAGCGTGTAGCATGTTACAGTGCTTGAAGTTAGCTGACTAATGATCTGCATAATCTTGTATATATGCCTTTAGCAGAGATACAGCTATACATCTTTAGCTTGAATTAGTCAATATATAACTCTGTCTATTCTCAGTCTCTTAAAAAAAAAGTTAAATTCACTGTGATAAAAAATTCAAGAACTCCTTCTGGAATCTGCAATAAGAAGAAATATTGTTGGACACACCTTGTAGGCTGTGTTTCAGAATTTAGGAAAAGTCTGGCTCATTGTCTTTCATGCTATATGTCAGGCCTCTGACATTATTCCTGTATGTCTCCTGGGAAGTATTTCACATTGAAGAAGGCTTATATGCCTAGGGAAAAAAAAAGTAAGAACAAGAGGAAAAAAAAAAAAGACAATTGCAGTGACAGAGGTTAAACTAATAGAGGCTATGGTTTAGAGAAGGTGTGGAAGTGTATTTACATTTCCCGTGTGCTAGTGATTGTTGCCTGGACCACGGCCAGTTGGATCAATATTGCTGTTTTTCAGCGGGTTTCCCGGGTGCCGCCCCGGGATGCGTGCCTGCTGTGTGCACGCCCAAGCACTGGATTCCTGTGCACATCACTTGTTGTGACTGGGACAGCTCAAGAACTTTATACTTCTGGATGGAAATAGAAAACCCAGTATGCCTGCTTCTGCAAAGTCATGGGCAAAAACATGCCTGTCCTTGTCTGCGAAGAACTTGAGCCTTGCCCCTCTGGTCTTCTTGCAGGTTCCTTTTTAAACACTTGTGGTTTTTATACTGTAACCCACTGGAGTAATTTTCTGTGCTCCCTGTTTTTCCTTTACAGTAGACAGGGAAACATGCTTCCTTGGAGCACAGGCACTGAAGTTACCCACTCTCATTGATCTAGTAACCGCTCACTGTGGGTCTTGTTTGTGGATGGAGGAATTCACATCTGCACAGAGAAATACAAATTAATGTGTTTGATCCATGGCTGGAGATGTATTCGGAAGACTAATCTTGAACACCAGAACCTGTTACATTGAGGTATGCTGACGTGACAGTGGGAGAAACTTTGTTGAATCTTTAGGAGATGGTTTGCCCAGCTGGGCTTTTAAAAACTGTTTTCTTGTATTTTTGGCAAAAGAAAAATGTTTTTTTCAATGAAAAATGAGTCTCATGGTCTCATTTTGAGTCCTAAAACACAAGTATTGATTTCATAAATATAGACAGTGCCCAACTTAAGTAATTTCTTCAATGTATGTTGACTTTATTCCTCAGTTGTTAATGGGCAGAACTTTTTAAAGCAAAGTGAGATAGTGTGTTTTGACTGATTATACTCAGTAGTGGTATTTGCTCTCAGGAGGCAGGAAAAAATTCCCAAACCATTTGATATTCTGGTACCGGTTAGTATTTAGCTGTTATCAGTTAGTAACTGAGTGTCATTGGCAGAAGAATGCAAGACCCTCAGTCTTCAACACCTGGATATAAAAGTCTCCAAGAAACACATACTGCACTTTTTCTAAGCTGTAGGTCCATCCCCCCAGTGTGTATTTCTGTGTGATTTATAATCGAAGTCTAGGAACTGGCCAGTGCCTTGCTACCTTCCATTGACAGCTTTCGGCTTTTTTGGAAATATTTTAGCTTCATGCATACCGTAGCTGTCGGCGTGATTCAGAGCCTTTGGAAGGAGAGCTTCCTCTTGTATTTTTTATTTGCTTAGCAAAGCTTTGACTATATGGCTTTGTATTTCAGAGTCTTTTATGCCAGGGAATCATTTAATATTTCAGAGACACAGGAAGGCACCTTGGAGCTTGCTACATGTCTTGATTGTTTTTTAACCTTATCCCAGTATGATATGCTCTCTAAAGAATATTCTCATGTAATCCTGCAGGGAAGAATAAAGGTAATACAGTTGCCTGGCATTAAATACTGTAAATCAGAAGATAATAATGACAAGTTTGAGAAACGTACTAAAAATAATGACAGGCTTGTTTCTGAATAGTAAATGCTATAAAGCTTTGCTTTAAATTCTGACATCCATCTGAAATTTGTACCCACTACCTACAGTTATGTGTTGGGGGGCTGTTTGCTTGTTTTGTACTTCAGAGAAACCGACTTGACTGTATGTACTAGTCCAGATACAGTTCTCTCTGGAGGAATTCCTTGGCCAGGCTGTAGGAAGATGTTTCTGAGAACCCAAAGAGAAATAATGTGAAAAACGTGGCCAGCTCTGTCCCAGGGCCATTCCTCTCCCTGGGAGAAAAGCAAGAACCAGGGAGGGAAGATGGCCCATTTCATATGACTGCCAACAGGAGGGTGACATTTTCACAAGCAGGAAAGCTTGAAGCAGCCTGAGCTCCTTCTTAAGGCCAGCTTATATGGGACAAGTGTGGTTGTGATATGATTACAGTGAGGATTTCTGGAGGAAAGCTTAGCAGTGGTGCTTTCTCAAGGATTTTGGAAGCCCTGTGTACCGTTCCTCCTGCTTCGTTCCTTCTGGAGGTCTTTCTCAGAGTCTGTATCACCTTGGCAGGTACAAAGATATTTCAGAGAAACAGTATGCCCTTCCCCATCCAGGTCAGGCTGCTCATCTGAGCCTATGCAGGGCAATTCTGGTGGGAACTGGGTGCAGCCTTCTCCCCTGGGTGCTGGAGAGTGGGGCAGGGAGACTTCCCTGGGGACGAGGGCATCACAGATGCCAGGTGTAAGGATTTGGACTGCACATTCCATTATACCTTAAGGTAGTGCCATTTGCCTAGTGGGAGGGGATATAAATGCCTAAATTATTACTGCATTCATGGTACTTGATTCACATTTCCATTCACAGGCTCTGAGGAGAAAATGTTTGCATTTAAATCTTTTTAAAAAAATTGGAATTAGAGATATGTGAAATTGCCTAAGAATCCTGTAAGGTGTAAGGGCAAACCATACATTAAAATAAAGGTCCTGCAATTGCTGAAATGGTGACTAGACGTTCGATTCAAGGCACTGTGGCTTTCTTCTCCTGACCGTGCTGTGCAATCAAAACCAGCCCAAAGCAATATATTCCCTGGCAGCTCTGATAAAGACTACGCATGGTCCTGCTTTATTGCAGTGGCCCCAAGAAAACATGAGGCACAAACAGATTCAGAACCTGGTGTGGGCAGTGGATGGTGGTTGCCTTGGGGCTTCTGGCAGTCAGAAAGGTAGAAAGGTGGGGACAACATCTGCTGCAAAACCCTGTAATAAATATGTCTACTTTGGATGAAGCTGTGTGGGCAGACTGAACCTGATGAGGGGGTGGTTTGTATCTAGAAAGCTGTCTGGGAGTGCTCATGTGAAGCATCTTAGTGTCAGATGGGAAGTTACGCATATGCGTATATGTGTGTGTATATGTATAAATCACCTTGCTTTTTTCCACTTTGACGTGAGTGTTGAAGTGTTGTAAGTCCATGGCCATTCTGAAATGAGAAAGCAAGAAAATGATCAAAGCAGATGCTGGAAATGATAGTAACATAGTATGGTCCTGACAAATAAACGCTAAATAAAGCGATAAGCTTCAGACTGCTCTGGGACGAGGGCTGTCCCAGCAAGCCTCAAAGGCAGGCTGGCTAATTTAACCATGAGCCTAATCAACTGGCTCTTTCTAATTACCATGCAAAGAAGTGACAGACTAAAAACTGTTTCTTAAGTATGTTTCTATCTCTTTTGGCAGCTGGTCTCTGGGGCCTGGTGGACTAAAACCTGGAGGCAAGGTTGGCTCATTGGGACAGCCCAGGCAAACCTCTGACCTATATATGCTTAATTTCCACATGAACGTAATTAGAAGGTGGATGCAAACAATGGATTGCATGAATTCCTCTATGAAATTGAGTAGACAATGCCAAGTGTTGAGCAGCTTCCACCCATGCTGCAGGAGAGGGGCTTGCTGTCAGAGCAGCTCATGGCGTGGAGGTTTTAATTGCCATCCAGAGCTGATGATTCATGGATTTGTCTCTTTCCGTTCCCTTTGCCTCGGCAGATCCTGGATGTCCTGTTGACAGCTGAAGCCAAACAGCTCAAACCCCGAACTATTTATCTACCCTTCAAAGTCCTCCCAGCCTCCTCCTCTTCCCGTTAATGTTGACGTTAATGACAGCTCCACCGCTGCCCTGTGTCCCACAGACTCACAACAGTGGTGTCACTTCTCACTCCTCCCCCATCTCCGAGGTTTTGTGAAATGCTTCTGCTTTTCTGCAGCATCTGTTGAATGTATCTTCTCTCCTTCGTTTCTGCCACTGACACTAACTATAGCATCCATCTCTGTGGCTTTTCTGACTTTTTGCATTGTGTCTCCATATGTAAACTCAGAATGATCTACTACAACCTGCATTTCCCTTCCCTTTCCACACTCTTGCCAACACCAGCATTCACCATGGACTGGTGCTGGGTCGGGGGAGAAACAACCAGTAAGGAAATAGGGAACTGATTTTAATTTCAGAGGACTGCAGTACTCTTGTTGTTATGCCCAGAGGAACACAGGCTTTAGTATTAATCCAAACATGAGATTTCTTGGGTTCTTCATGCTTTTGCTTTACTTCAGTGATAGGTGCTGCTAAGTTGTTGGGGTTTTTTTAGCAGAATATAGGAAATAGTGAAATGTGAGTTGCTCTTAGTTTGTCTGAACTTCACAAATGGACATTGCTGCCTGCTGGGGGCGGGGACAGGGGCTTGAAAGGTTTGTGTAAATGAATCAGTCTTTGAGATATTTAAGTAAAAAAAATCAACTGGGAGTATTTCTGCCCTCAATTACACACATAGGGCATATTCAAATAGCCGTAGCATATTCAAATCCCACCTTATTCCTTCAGCCTTAGGCCACCATATTTATGTCAAGGATTTCCCGGAGAGAAATAGGCAGTCGTGCTCGGTGTAATGTATGCAGAGGAAATGCAGTGCTTCTGGGGTGCATTTATTTGCAACTCTTGGTCAACCATAATTTGCACAGTGACAACCATATTACACTCTTGCATGGGTTTTCATTAGATGGCAGGTGTTGTTTATTTAGAAGTATCTAAATACATTTTTTTCATATAAAAGAGAGGCACAGAAATAAGCTCTTTGTGTTTCATAGGGTTGCCAGGGTAGCAGTAGCAAAATATAGCAAATCAACAATGAGATCTGCAGGAATGAATACAGACTATGCCCAGAGGCTATGGAAGGCACCAAGACATATTTCAGGCTTTATCGGGAATGAGGCAAACATTTGCACGGCTCTGAAAGAGCTTCTGGCTTTGCAATGAACCGCCATAAAATGACATAATTAAAAGTTACATTGTGTTTGATTCTTTTCTAACACTCAGTAATCAAACACCATAATCGGAACGAATTATTGCATTTGTATTCTGCCATCCACTGAAAAAGATGCATTGCTTGGCTTATAGCCTTATCCTGATTTATTAGGTCTAATTTCAGAGACTGGCACAAAAAATGAGTCAGATTCCCGAGGGACTTGTTGCATATATGCAGTGGTACCTTTAAGATGCGTGTGCTTTTTCTGTATGCTTCCAGTTGTTTAGAAGAAACTTCCAGGTTGTTTTTTAAATCCGATTGGAGTGTGCAGACAAGATGAAGGTTAAGCCGAGGAAAGGTTGATCGGGACACAGATATGCACACTTCACTGTGAGGTTGGCAGCTTCACCTCTGATGTGACCTCCAGGTGCTATGAATGAAGCCACAGGATTAGTAACAAGGCACACGCTGAGCTGCCAAGTCTCTTGTAACAAGACAGAGAAGTGGAAATAGCATTTCTATTCAGGGTATCAAAATCAACCCTTGAAGCATAGTATTGCTAGTTGATTGCAAATAATGGAGCTGCAAAATGATTTCTGCACAGGAACGTACTGTTTGGCTGTGTTGCAAACTACTTTCCATACTTGTTTCGATGACCATGAATTATTTAGTTTGGTATAGGTAGAAGTTTTCTGCAAAATAGGAAAACAGAAATAGAAATTCAAAGCCAACATTTTGATGTAAAAATTATCCTTGTAAGAAAAAGTAAGTTGTGCCTAGTCCAGTGAACTTTT